TGGTGAATTTTCACATCAGATGTACGCTCTAGTACTATAGCCTGTTGTCCAAGGCTGTGCTTGCTGTGCAACAAGGGATATAGTAATAGAGTACGTCAGGTGTGATGTCTGTTAGGTCGATTGATGGGTTCTGTGTTCGTATGTAATCGAGATACGATGATAAACAGCTTAGAGCGTTTGTTGATGGAAAGGCAGAGGAGAAATGTTAAGAATTCTAGGTAGTAGGAATACCATACTAATGCTGTCGTTATAGACGTCCAACTGTGCCAAAAAGTTGTCTCATGCGACTGATGTTTTATTGATAATTGCTTCCAAGTATACCCGGCGTTTTCTTCACGTTTAGTGTGTTATAAGACTGCAGCAATATAATTTCGTGGTATGACAATACTTGTTACGCTCGCGTAGTGAGCGTCCGATACATGGAGTATTTGTGGATATTGGTTGCGGTGAAGTGGTATGATAGTGATATAAACATAAGCGATTGATTCTTTATTGTTTATCAGCCACTACATCCCATTTACGGTTATCCCCGACAAATGCTTCACGTTTCATTCTTCCTAGGATTGAGAGTTATGTGTAATCCCGTCGGCATGAATTATGCAATGTATAATATGAGTCACCGATACTGAAACAATGATAAAGTTGGACAGACAAAGTAATTATTTTATGTTTAGGGTGATAAGGTGCACAATCGGGAAGACATCTTTGGCAGCAATAGATGTATTGGCGCGTCACAGCATATCCATTAAGGTGACCTTATAAAGGCGGGCTTATGTGGGCTTGCGAGCCGACTCGACGGAAGCAACTGGATTTCGAAGTCAAGCTGAAGCGATCAGGAGCGGACTAGTTGCGTCAGTTGCACTGTTACTATTGCGCGAGGAACTATGTGGCAGCCTGCGAGCAGTCGGCGTCGCAGTCGACGCGAAGGAAGCCTGCAGTCGGCAGCCAGTTTGCTTCCAGTGCGAGCGGACTTCCAAGCCCGACATAAGCGCTCCTTTATACGGTTATGGAATTCATCTAGTGTGTTGCAAGACCCAATAGATGATCGCCTATAATTAGCATATGTATGATAGTAATCACATAAAGCATGTATGAATAGGTTTTACGGTCTTACAGGACCGGTGTACTAGAATTACGAGTGTGGTTTATAAACGTCATTCTTATTATAAGGATATATACATGTTAATATTCCCGATGTTGTCTAAGAATACGTCGATTCCTTGTTCGGCTGCGTTGAGTGAGTAGGGTGAATGTTCTAGCATTCCATTAATAAATGTGTGGATTGGTGATTAACAGTTAGAGGGAGGAGTTTTAGGTGTGTTGTTATTGTGCCGTTGTTATCACATATTGCTTGTTACTTATATCAGAAGCGTATCGATATACATTACTCCATGTCGAAAAGTGTAGGCGAGCCGTTGTCTGTCCAGGCCGAGTCACGTCGGGTTCAGTTGGCGATAGTGTGAATCACTAGCTACTGGCGATTACTAATTAGATGTGGGAAGGATATAC